GAAAATAACTGATTTTTTCATTAAAACAAAAAAATGTTGCATTTATTAAATGGATTGTAACAATAAGTATAATTACGGCTTTTCTTCCACTATTTTTAACTCAGTTTAAAACTTCAAATGCGATATAATTTTGGCTTGGACCATCTAAGCTGACTGACATCAACTTGCTATAATTTCTGTTTACATTACATCGCAATTCGATGACACTCTGGCTCAGACACCAGAATGTTTTGACGATTTTTAGCATTCGTTTAGGATTTTCAAACAACCTGGTCTCTTTTAAAATGCTTTTAATTTGTTCTTACGTGGTTTTCCAGATGTATAGTGACGACAACATTAAAGTTAAAAGAAGAAAATTCTAACATTTAAACCGACTAAACAATAACATAGTAAACTTGCATAATTAAACAGCAAGTAAAAACGATAGGTTTTACTAAATCTTTTCTTGTGCAATTATTACTAGTATTGGAGACAACGATAATAGTTTGTTTGAAAGAGAAAAGAACAGGCTTTGAAGTAAGCCTAAAAGCGTTTAACTAGAAATAGTATGTCGAAAGTTATTAAGCACAAAAGATGAATTGCGTTTATTTTGATACACCCTGTATATATATATATATATATATATATATATATATATATATATATATATATATATATATATATATATATATATATATATATATATATATATATATATATATATTGACAATTGACACGTAAAAACAGCACTAAAAGCACTGCTTGTCACTCAACGGTGGCACACAACAATGGCACACACTACAGACCTGCCCTGCATTGTAGTAACCACTAGCACCATAATCCTAAGATGAACAACCGGTCAAAATGCATGTGATAAACAATTATTGGATGAGGATGAGATATCAAGAATTTTTTACACCTAGGTCAATATTTTTAACAAGGAATATTTTAACCAGGAATCCTGATCGAATTCACCAGACTATAGCCATTTTCTTGCGCCATCCCGTACACACGCCTAATCTCGTCGTTTCTTTTACTACGGGACTTTTCACAAATTGTGTCGTCAATTTAGCCACGGGTACGAATTGTGTTTAGCGTCAGTACATGATGGCATAAGAACATGGCGTACACAACTTCTTTTCCCGAAACTGTCGCAGACAACCCGCTTACAACTTTAGATGTATATAGAGCGTTTGCACATGACGTCACAGCCGCCATGTTGGTGTTCCAATTCAAAAGAATTTTAATTAGACTATTTTGTCTGGAACACCAACATGGTCGAGAAATTTGCCAAGTTGGTCCCTGGGGATTGAGTGCAAACGCTCTATTGTGTAAATGAAGCACATAACTCACGTACGACAACGTGTAGGTGAATTGTGTATTAGATTTGCCAAGTAAAACTCAAAGTTAGGCAAACAGGTTGTACAGTATGCGACAGTTTTAGGCAAACTGTGTAGTGTGAATCGGCCATATTGAGGATCAGACGGGGACTGTTGACCAACCAATAAAGTTTGAATATATACAGTAATAATAAAGTATAAGTCCTCACCACAGAATCTGGAGGTTTCTTTACTGAACCAGCTTTTCCTTTACCAATTGAATACCTATATAATAGAGAAAAGAATTATTTCCCAATGAACTACAGTATTTCTAAAACTTTGAAGTCAAATACTCAGAATGACACATTATACACAGTACAAAATAGACACTATCGATGTATCTACAAAAATTGCAACATGAATTACAGATGACTTACTCGTAGTCGCATGAATACGTGAATCCAATGAAAGGTAAATTGTTCCCAGCAAAAGCCTGAAGTGGAACCACATTAGGTAAGGCCTAAAGTATAGTTTATATAGTATATAGTAGAGGTGTGCATCGGATCGGATTGAACGTTTATAATCCGACAATTGCCTAATGTTTAAAATCCTATCCGAAATTGTCTAATCCGAATCCGAGTTTTGATAAAGAATTCCAATCCGATCCGATCCGAAGAATTCTTTAATAAAATTCCCCTTCAAGTTGAAATATTTAACCAAATAAATATAAAAGTCCCATTGAAGTACTGTATCAAACAAAAAATGCAGCAACAACCGCGATAATGCTTTGATAAATGCATGGATAATTAATTATTGCGGTAATGCGTGGATAATTAATTCATTTTATTTCGGATATCGAAGTCCGATCCGATCCGACTACGAAACAACTTTATCAATCCGATCCAATATGAATATTTTGGTTCCGAAATCCGAACGAATCCGATTTACACACCTTTAGTATATACTGTAGTATCTCGGAGACTGTTCATACGAGCCTAGCTAGAAACTCATCGGAGTCAAATCCGCACGCCCTTTGGTAACGCGCATAAAATTCAAATGGTATCCATATGAGAAACGAGCCAGCCCGGTTTCAAATTCTGCATTAATGAAGTAGGCCGTAGTACCATGTCGTTCATTTCATGTCTACCTCATGTATGAATACGATATACATTAGTATAGGTAATAGCATGGTTTCGAGTGCAATTTGGATATAACATGCACGAGTGAGTTTTTCAAAGACCTCAAAATAGCACGAGTCCGAAGGACGAGTGCTATTTGAGGTCTTTGAAAAACTCACGACTGCATGTTTATCCAAATTTCACGAGAAACCATGCTATTACTTATTAATAATTTACATAAAAATGTTCGAGACAATTGTAGTTTTATTAACTTACGCGTTTAATATAGCGAACATTCCACTGGCAAAGTTTTCCTGGCTTTGTTATAACACATTATACAACGCTAACAGCTTGAAAATTCCACTCAACTATGAAATTTTTGTTAGTCTTGTTTAAGGTAAACGCTTTTCCGTTTAAAAATAAAGATAAAAGCCAAATTTTCCACGCGAAGGCAACTTTTACTTTATGTAGCGCGGCGCCATGTTTGTTTTGTTTTGAAGCAATCTGTGACCGTTTACTTCTTTAAACTAAACTGCTTTAAATTGATTGGTTGATTTTATGATCACAATGTTTTTCCACCTGCAATCAGATCAGTTTGTTACAGATTTTTGCACTGTTGTTACAGATTTTTGCACAGCTGTTTGGGATTAAATGCACTGAAACCAACCAATCACAGTCGAGTAATATTTCTATGTATATTATTAATAAAATAATAGTACTCGGTCTCAACGTGTTTGGAATGCAATATTTCATACGTGCAACACCAGATTCATACCTTAGTGACAGCAAAGGTTTCTTCTCCACCTTCAGGATCAGCAATATCATCAAAGTTTGTTGTATCGATATCTGAATCAAGTTCTGGCACAACTGGAGCTACCACTGAGACAAATATGAAATAAAGTTATTTAACTTATGTTTACCATTAAATTAGAATCTGATTTTGTGTAAGATTTTCAAATCCCACGATGCAGTATACTGTACAGTCGATCTTCTTTACTACGAACACCAAAAGGATAGAGCAAAGTCCCTGTTCTAGACGTGTCTGCTTTGTGATCGGTATTAGAGATGTTCGTAGTACAGAAGCGTCTGTATTAGAAAGGCGTCTGTATTAGAGAGGTGTAGGTATTAGAGAGATGTCCATATTAGAGAGGTGTTCGTATTGGCGAGGTATCGGTATTAGAGGTGTCTATAAGGAGGGTTGTCCATATAATATATATCAGAGAGATGTCCATATTAGAGAGATGTCCATATTAGAGAGGTGTTCGTATTAAAGAGGTGTTCGTATTAAAAGAGGTATCCGTAAGACGGGTTGTCCATACAACCATTTAAGTAGCATTACAGCCTAATGTACCCTACAACACTTCATTATTTTACTACATCTATACACTACTTGGATAAAATTAAAACAAACTTACTATCTCTGATGTTCTCCCAGGTCCATTGCTCATTCTTAAAAAATCTCTGTTTCCTGATCTCATCGACTCCTTTCTGACCAATACGTACCGTCCTAGAATTGACAATAACGAAAGAACGGCTTTCACTTGAAAACTTAGAAGCATTTTCGATCTTTTACATGTAGTTTGAATATAAAATACGGCACATCGCTACCTGGCGGAGACCCTGGGTTTTGTGAGACCCTAGTTGCAGGATACCAGTCAGAGAAAAACTACAACCGGATACCAATTGTGATACTTGGACAATACTTCACTAGTTCCCCCCCACAAAAAAAATAAATATATAGTCCATTGTTTTACTATGTGCATAAATTTATCTCTTGATATAACAAGCATAAATATCTGTGGCACAGGATTCAGCGGTCAATCTAGAGCAGTTTACACCACGAAAGTATTTTCTGCACACGAGATGTTCCTTGCACACAATTTCTTAACACACAAAGAACTATTTTCTCCAGTTTCATGCATGGTTCTAATAAAAGTTCCAGTGCAATACGGTAAATACATGTATCTGGCAAAATTTTACTGGATACCGTATACTGCTGGATGTCTATGTTTTATTGGATATCGGATACCTGATCCGGCACATCCCTACAGCGGCAAAGTATGGAATTTGGGCGTCCACATTTTCTATTTGGCTTCAACTTAAGGTCGAGACACACCGGATGAGATTCGATAACGCGGCGCGTTTTTCAGTTTTTTTAGCGCTTCTATTAAATATTTGAAAAACAATAATAATAATAAGTCTTTATTCATTTGATAAAAATACATATCAAAAGTTACAAAATTAATATTATATATAAATATATATACATACACTGTACATCTTTAAAGTTAAAGGTAAAAGTTGATTTGAATCCACTAGACTGTCAGCTTATATCTAAAATATAATCTATTTACAAAACTGTTTTTGAAGCGTTCAGTATTCATTTGGGGCAATTAACTTGTTCTTTGTCGTAAACGCAGCGACGAGTCATTGACCTTAGGGAGAAGTGAATCTAGTGGGTGGTAGACATTTACTCTAATTTTATGAAACAGTCTTTTATCAAACTGTTCCATAAGTTCATGGATATTGAACAGTTTTGAGGTATAATGCCTTCTAAAATATCTGTTCAAACTCGTTCAACTCAGTCAGCGTTACAAGCTCCATAAACCGTGAGGGCATAGGTTAGTTTCGATAATACGACAGATTTTAAAACTAAGTTTATGATTGTATCCTTCTTTTCTCAAGCCTCGAATTACGTATAAGCATCTGTTGGCCTAACCCAGTTTGGCTTTAATACATGTATGCATCATGAACTTGCCATTATAGACTGAAACGTTAGACCAAGTATTTTAACACGACTGTATTGTTTTATATTCAACAGCACTGCATTTCTTCCTTATAACTTCCTTATAAACCAGGATCAAAGTTATCGGTCAATGAAAATCGAAAAATTGCGCCGCATTGTCGAATCGCGTCCGATGAGTCTCGGTCTTTAATTTAAGACGTCGTCCTCACGATCTATCGCGATTCGTGAGGACTGTGTGTACAATCTGGAGATTTTTGGAACCCGCCTGAATAGGTATCAATATGATAGGCTCGAGTTCTTCCTCGACTAAACCCCCCAAAGGTTTGTGATACTGTGCTATACCTGTCACAGAGGAAGGCCTGTATCAAATTCTTAGCACCAGGAGAAATTTCTATATCATCTGGAAACTGAAGAGAGTTCTTGTGGTCCATAATTTTACCTGAAATAAGAACAATACAAAAGCGGTCTAGCAATGGCATAAACGTCACTGTTTATTACAGTACACTTTTGTTCCAATGGCCTCGTTTTCATGTTTGCCTGTTTCAGTATGACAGGTGCATATGGAGGTTATATCCCGTGCACAAATATGTTTCTCTTTCGCAGGGGCACGAATTCATGAATTAATAATTGTGAATTACTTACTGTAGGTACCAACTAAGGAATCTGCATAAAAAGGCGTATCACCTAAAAACATAAAGAATGTCTCAAAAATCTGGCATACACATTTTTCCGGTAACATTGGCCTCGAATATAACGCTCGCAAACTCGTAAAATTTTAGCACGTGTTTGCTAGTAGCCATAAAGTTAAGGTAGATCTTTGTTCAGACCTGCCAACCGTTGCCAGAAGAAAATCTTTACAAAATTTGGAGATTTTTTGAAAATTTCCCAAATCACCTTAAGGTGGCTCGACATAGTTATCACAAAAACTTTGCTCAAGAATTGCGAACAAAACTGGGTGACCATTCTCACGCGCAGGTCGCGGAAACTGATTAACAAAATGAAAGAACTTCCAAAATGACCTGACGTGAGCATTTGCTCGCGCCATCCCACGTTATTGCGCGTGTTCTAGAGTGTTTTATGTCAATTGCTGACGTCATTAGAATTTTTCATTTTAGAAAAACAATGCGCTATATCTCTCTATTTTGTCTGGTGACCTATGTTCAAATTTTACATGCTGTATTGCACCGCTAAAAACTTTCATTATACAAAAAATAAAAAAATTCTGTAATGCCAAAAATATTTTACCGAAGAGTACGACATTTTCGTATTTTCCAGAAAAATGGCATTACAGATTTTTTTAATATTTTGCTAATTGTTAGCTTTTCGTCCAAGTAAAATAATGCACGAAAAAGATTTGGGGGTCACCATGCTTCTTTTCCAGCTATACCAGACGATATGCCATTTTGGAGTAAATTTTGTACACGTATGTTGTCATAGCAACGAAATATCTGTTACTGAAACTAATATAATTTGAAAGTAGAGATATCAAAATATGTAAAAAAAAAAAAATATCTGCTGAATAAATCCCAAAAATGCGTAGTTTGAACATTTCAAAGTGTTGAACAACTGAATTTTTGAAAACTGTATCGAGCCACCTTAAATGGATTTTCTAAGAGACCAAAGTCACCAAAAAACAAATTTGTATGAAATTGTGAGCAAAGCAAGTCGGGGAGTGCTAATCATCCTTGTAAACTTGCAACTAGGAGCTCAACCTGACTTTGTAAGGGTGCCTCTGGCAGCCAGTTAATGACTCATGCATGTCTGATCAGAGAGCGCAGCCATGATAGAAGGGTCAGCTAGGGGCTTATCCCAACCCACCCTGTGCGACTACGACTTTCGGTAAAGTGTTGACAGACTCTTTTCACATATAGTAAGTGTCGTGCGTTCACAGCGAGAATCGAACCCATGATCTGAGAGGTGAAAGGCACTTGTTCCGACAATAGACCTTTCCCCTTTTGAGTGAAATTTTGATCTGGATATGGCTGGACAAAAAATTCATCACAGCTTGAAAGATCATCACAAAATTAGTAATTCGACGTTTCGTTGCGAAATGTTGTAAAATGCGGATAATATAGCCTTGCGAAGTTTGCAATTTTCATTCATTTTAGATTACGCACGGGAAATTGATAATCAGATGATCAAACTGATTATCAATTTCCCATTTGTAATACAAAATGACTGAAAATTGCAAACTTCGCAAGACTACTGTATATTATCCGCATTTTACAACATGTCGCAACGAAACTTCAGAATATTACTAATTTTGTGATGATCTTTCAAGCTGTGATGAAATTTTTGTCCAGGCATATCTAGATCAATATTTCACTCATAAGGGGAAAGGTCTATTGTGCCACCGAAGCCACTTCAACAACAATGTTGAGATTAGTGAATGCAAGCTATTAACATTACAACTAGAAAAATTTAAAACTAATAGAAATGGCAGAGAATGGCTTTGTTAGAAAAATACATGTATTATTAATAATCACGATAGTGTTTGTATTCTAAGTCGAAAACCCAATAAAATCGTGTGAGTATGACATTCGATCAGGTGATCTGGAGATTTGTTAAAAAATCGAGTTACACCTGACGGGTGGGTGAATTGCAGGTTTGATATGGTACGTTATATACAACTTAAACTAACTTACCCACAAGCATTTCATAAAGAAATACTCCGACAGACCACCAATCACATTCTCTCCCATAATAACCTTCACCTCCTTGAGATTTCAACACCTAAAGTATTCAGTACATGTGATTATTGCCACATACTTGCCACTATACAAACTGAGACTCAAGGTGTACTTACTGTAGTCTAGAAGACAAATGCATATAAAGCACAGTTTTCTAAAAGTTATTCATTCAGTAATCTTAGTAATCTACAAGTTAGAACAAGGAGCAGCATCGCAGCATATATACAGACATGCTGTACAGTAACAGTTGACTCAAACATTCTTTTGTCTCATCTTATATCACCAGTCCAATCATGTTTCATGCCAGGACATGTTAAATCTATGGTTTGAATGCCCTAGAGAGTTTACTGGTCGTATAGTACCAACAAAGAGTAAGTACACAGATATAGCCATTCTCGTACCCAGAGCCCTTCTTACGCGCGGTGCGACGAGGGGCTCTGGCAAATCCATAACCGGATACCATAAAAACATGGTAAGAAAACAATATCCGCTGTTAGAACTAGCCAATCAGATCCCTGTTCGGAATATGGATTTGGCCAGAGCCCCTCGTCGCACCGTGCGTAAGAAGGGCTCTGGGTACGAGAATGAGATATAGCCAGAGTACTACGGTTCATACAGGTACAGTAGTACCAGAACAGAATGTAATATTAGCGTACCTCCAGTACGCATATTATCGCACCGTGCAGCATTAACAAGTAAAATCAAACGTTGTTCAAAGGTCATGGATGACAAAAAAGTCATTACAGTAAATCATTTTATCCACTGGAGGAGAGCATTTGTTAAACCAAACATACCTCTGGTGAAATATAATCTGGTGTTCCAACTGCTGTATCGGACCTAACCATACCATCCTAAATAATATCAGGGTTGATACTACTGTACACTGAATTTTTTCACTTTGGAAAGCCTGTAGTGTCAGGGTTTTTCTCGGGTATCTAGTATGGACACAAACATTTCTTAACCCTTTGAGCACTAGCCCTCTCCCCTTGACAAGTAAAATAGTCCGGCACAATGGCATTAGACAGAGTAAAATGATAGTAAAAGTAGTATCCAAATTATCGAAACAAGATAATATGCTTTCAACCGTTTATATTATTTAAAACTTAAAAGCCACAACCATTCCTCTACTGTATCTAATTACAGAATTCAACATTACAAATGTTAAACTGACTGTTGTAGTTAGAGTATCTTGATGAAGCAAGTCAGAACATTCTCAATATGCTTAGCATTTTTCTCAGCAATTGCCAAGTGCTGAAGCGAATTATGAGGGCTGAACATGTGGATATGAAAATGGCTTAGGCAAGAATTTCCTGGATATCCAAATAAAGTGTAGAACACACAGTATCCACATCTGCTATCCAAAACCAAGGGCAGATATGGCCTCATTTGCTAAGGGGTGCAGGTATTCCAGAGGGGGTGCATTTCTAGGTAGTCAAGGGGCATGCTTCCACAAAACATTTTGAAGCCCTCGCCCCTCATATCCCACTTCCAGCATTTTGAGAACTAAATTATTTTGTTAAAGGCAAAAATTAAGAAAAATAAGAAATGAATAGTGAAAGGGAAAATTGCCACTCCACCTGCACACATCCCAGGTGCACTAGGTCTGCATACAGTATGTCCAATATTAGAAACAGGTATTATCAGGATACTAGGATAGTACAAATTTTGAACCCTGGGTACTGCTTAAAAGTTTGAGTATACCTTGTCCATCTTCATACAGGTTCCAAAGTCAGCCAGTTTGACATGACCTTTACTATCCAATAACATATTGTCCGGTTTTACATCTCTGGAAGGATAAAAATATTGAAATAATCTAATATTTAATGAATTGATCAATGTGTGTTGTATTTCATGTATTATATACTAGTACAGCCATGCTTCACTGTGTATACAATAGGCCTAGGATTAGTTAAATGTATAGTTTAAAACAATAGCTGGGCAGAAAATTCAAGTTTTCCTTGAATGTTTGAATGGCGAATAACAATATTATCCTTTTAGTTTGTGGAAAAGACCAAGGCATGTATATTTATTATTGCAAAGCTTTCAATCCATAAACCTAGATCTTCATCAATGCCAATAATATATGTGTATATAATATATTCCTAGCACTGCTAGCAGTAATACACATATTTATCAGTGCGTGCTAATAGTATGATATATAATATATTATTAGCACTAATGAAGATCTGGGCAAATGGATTGAAGCATTGCAATAATAAATATTAGTAGTTGACTTAGTTATCGTGCCACAATCAGAAATTACCAGTTATTCATGTAACAATCTACCCAACACCAATTTTATAATGACATCACAATGGCAGTCAACTGAGTAATGGTGATATCAATCTTTAACAGCCCAGAAATTTAAATGCTCTTTGGATTAATAGTGTGATTGTGATAATTGGATAAATACTGCATGCAGCTTGTTGGCAATACCCCCCACCCCCAACCAAAATCTGAAAATCGGTCTATGTTTTAAAGTGTGCATTGTCTCAACAATTGATTTTACAAAACCAGAAACATAGCTTCTGATGGCAAAAATCGGTATGATACCATTACTGGCAGGCGCCAAAATTTACATTTACTTCCACTACACAACTGGAATGGTAGATTTTGAAAATTACTATTCCGTCTGAAGATCCACTATTCTTTTTATGTCTCATAGAGCTACTGTAGTTCACAGGCTAGTAAGTAACTCTGACAGTTGTGAAGTAAGCTGCAAGACCTCAGAACTGAAGATCAGAAGGAAAAAAACACAGCAAACATTTTATATTTATACAACAACAATCAACATGCAAAAAATTATCAAATGCACATGCAAATCTACAAATTCATATTATCCTCAATAATGTACCAGTGATATTCTAAATTGATACCAACCACAATTTTTTCTAACCATACAAACAGAATACTGAGATCATGAAGTTCACTAATCCGTAAGGCAAATCACCATTTACAAAATAATGAAATAGCGTAAATTTCTACCCTGATCAGTCAATCACTATACTGTATGTGGTGTTATCCAACAGGATATAAAATTATGCCCATCATTACTGACATAAGAAACATTTAATTAATTTAGTGAAATATTACAATACAATTATAACAGGAGCAAGGTGCATGCAAAAAAGAGTAGAGACCGAACAAGCAAGGTCAACAATCGGTTTATTATATGGCAGAACTGAGTCTGTGAGCATATGCTTTTCGAGCGAATCATCAAATCGGCTATCATAACAATATACGGTAGGCATGCATGCTCAATCAAAAACAATTTGGTTGCTTGAAATTTTTATCTGTAAATTTTAATGACACACAATTGGAAAATGAAAAAGCAAAAATTTTTTCTGTTTGCAAAGCAAAAATTTCCCGCCAGATAAACAACATCCAGGACACCGGTCCAGATAGGGAAAATACGCACCACAGTCTGGATATGGGTTTTTATGGACCGCTTGTCAACCAATCAGAATAGAGAATTTTGAAAAGCCATATAATAATACATGTTTTTGCTCGCTACTCTGGTTTATATAAATGAATACAAAGCCCAGTCAAATTGTAATCAAGGTCTTGATTACAATTTTGATTACAAGGTCTTGATTACAATCTTGGGCTTTGTATTCATTTATGTAAACCAGAGTAGTGAGCGAAAACATGATTGACATACCTAGTTGCCATGAACAAACAAACTTTAAATTTACAATACATTATTTTATTCACATCAATTGAATTAATAATTCAATGTGTTTATGCAATAATAAAAATAGTTAACTTCTAGCACGAGTTGTGATGTGGGTCATTATAATATGTAAATTATGCATTTATGCAGGATCAATTTCATTGACCAATCAGAAGCAGTCTGTTGTCAGCGGGCGGGAGTTTGCCATTTCCTGTGCTCACGGGCTGTGCTCACTTGCATACTGCTTCTCACACTGTGAACTCGATTTCCCACCCACCCACCCGATAGTGTTTCCCCCTTGCCTGCGATAGCGCCGGCTGCTTGCCAGGTTCTTGTTTTCAGGCTTGCCTGTGCTTGCTGGCTGCTTGCCGGTCTACCTCCGGCTGTTTTTTGCCGGTCCCATGGGCTGCCTGCCCCCCCCCCCCCCTCTGGCTGTTTGCTCGATCTTGGGCTATTGTCCCCTCCCCGTGCGGCTGCTTGCCGGGTGTTCGGCTGCTTGCCGATGTGTGTATCTGTGCATCAGCATATTTAATTTTGTGATTTGTTCGTCTGCTTGGACGTGCATTTGTCCCCTCACCATTACTCCTTTTGTCTGTCCGTGTAGTGTAAATGGTGGGGGTAGTCCTTTTTGTCATCCTTGCTAGCAACGTCCGTGTTGTGTTAGTTATTTGCATTATGCCGCACCCGCTCGTCGGGCTTGTTCTCCGGCTAGTCCGGGTGATTTCTTTTAGATTGGTATCCTGCGTTATCCAGCGTTTTTTGGATTCCCTCTGGTCGGGAGGTGCATATAGTTTGTTGTGCTCTGCTTTGTATGCTTAGCAGTTAAGATATCTCATACGTTCATGTTACTATTTTATTTATTATTAATTCCGTTTCCACCTGTGGTGTGACGTTAGCTCTGTCCTTGCAGAGGCTAATTCTTGGCATCATTGATATTAGTCAAGTGGGATGCTGGGATGTCTGAAAGTCTCTTCTACCAAGAAGACAGCTGCGCAGAATGGAGTTCATCGTAAACCGGCTTGCCGAGTAAACTAAGCAGCCAGAACCTCTCCAACAGAGCTACACCCTCCAAAGAATTGCTTGCTTAAGCTCGAGTGCGTTAGATGTTAATACATATCTCACCTGTGTATAAAGCCCATAGTATGTATAGCATCCAAAGCAAGGACAACTTCGGCTGTATAAAATCTTGCCCATGATTCTGGTACATCATAGTTGCTCATTAGATTTACTAAATCACCACCTATATGCACAAATAGTTAATTGAAACTTTTACTTATTAACAACTCACTGTCTTTCGCAGAGTAATTTGCAGGTATATACAGCAGCCCACATGTTTAACTGCTGTATGGCATAGGCATGTGCTTCTCAGTTCTGCAGAGGAGTATTATCACACACAAAAAAAAAACTGACATATTAGACAGAGCAGTCTTAAATCATCATAGACAAAATCATCAAAGACAAAATCATCATAGACAAAAAAATGCCATTAACATTTTACAATTCACCAGCAGTTCAGTCCAGGCATTAAAATACGGAATTTTTACAAGGACACACTTTGCCTTCAGAGGCGTATTTTTGGTATAAATGCGCTGACTCACGAGAACGAGTGGCGAAGCCACAAGTTTAGCGTCGAAGACGCGAGCTTTTAAGGGGGTCTCTGAAATGGCATTTCCAGTGTTCTGAGAACAGATTTGGAAAATATTTGGCCATTTTGCGTGGATTACATTAATATATTTTCTGTTTAATATATTTTCAAGTACACACTTTTCAATTCACAAGGGCACATTCGCCTTTTACAAGGACACAAAGTGTGTACAAGGACACGCTATTTTAATGCCTGGTTCAGTCCCCCCCACCCCCCACCCCCACCCCTCCCAAAAAAAAAGACAATCTGTTTAATGGCAATGGTTTGGTTAATAGCTAATGTCACTCTCTTGACATGCAAACAAAACACAATTTTTCGGATGAGTGAAGGCATCTGCGGTTTTGGTAATAACTTTATTTGCACCATTACTGTATACAGTACCTGCACAATAATCCATTACCATGTACAGATATTTTGCATCTTGAAATGCAAAATGTAACTACAAATAAAAGATAGTTTGAGTTTATTTGCTAACTGAAACCACACATACTATTTTAAGTAGGTCTTAGTAATACCTATTTGAGTCGATTTTGAGATTTCATCAAAATTAAGTATAGTATACATGTACAGTAATATTACACTAGCAAATACCTGAACAACCCAAGAACTATCACAATATGCCATAATATCTCGTTCTTCCCAAAAGAAAGCTGAATCTGATCGCTTGATCTAAAATACACATGTCATAAGAATTGACAAAAAATGCAACAATTCCATGGAGGTTTGTGGCACTGGCAGTTTGATGGAAATATTTAATTAATGAATGGATCAAGTAACCCATTAAGTGCACACGACTCTCTCCTTACTTAATAAGTAAAATTGTCTGGTGTCAGACAGGGTAAAATACTAAAGTAGGGCATTTGGGTGCATTGCAGCTTACAGTAATTAATGGGTAAATCAGTTATTTCAAACCTAATATATCTATTTAATTGTTGTTTATGCCTTTGATATTGAATCAACAGGCTATATACTATTGTTCCAAATAAACTGTGAAACAACCGTTTTTACGAAGGACATATTTGTGTACCTTGTGATCACAATTCGTTGCAAGCGGCGTGTGAAAAACTGCAAGTTTCAGTTTGACAGTTCTGACAGTTAAATGAGTTTCTAATTTTATTGTCCAATCAGATGCGTAACTACGCACCTGATTGGACAATAAAATTACCTTATTATAGGAAATTAACGATGCACTTTATTAACACGGATTTTAAAAATTCGCGTTAATTTAATTATGTTAATTTATGTGATCGTTAATTTTAAGTATGTAATTTTCATTTATCATTAGTTAAAAATACCTAGACTTGTTTTATATAACACTAACTCTTTTAATATCAAAATACAGCATATTAACGTAAACTAAAAACATCAGTGCTCCTCTTAACATTAAACCTTTGTTATTGTTGCGTCTATATTTTCTAATTCACGTTAATTTAATTAATTTGTCAACCATGGAGATCAGATTCGCGTTAATATAATCATGTTTTAAAAGACCTAGAAGCAATCCGTGTTAATTTGATGTCGTGTTAATTTATGTCGCGCTAATAAAGTGCATCGTTAATATCCTATAATAAGGTAGAAACCATTTATTGTCAAACTGTCAAACTGAAACTTGCAGTTTTTCACACGCCGCTTGCAGCGAATTGTGATCACGAGGTACACAAATGTCCTTCGTAATTGACAAAACTGTCACTGACAAAACTGTCACTGACAAACCGCCTAAAAAACGGTTGTTTCACAGTTTACTGGGAACAATAGTAGTAGTGGTTTGAGGTGCTCATTGGGTTGCTGAACAAGATAATGACAATTTACCATGCATCATCAGCTCGTAAATATACCAGTCGTGTCAGTAGGCTGTTGTGATATATTAAAAAATACCAAATACTGAAGAAACTATGGACATATATTGATATTTTTCAATCCTGAAGTCACAAAATACTCAACCTATTTTTGCCAAAACTTCAAGACATGAAAATAAAGTAAATATACAAAAAAGCACTCTTTTGGCACTTTTAGGAAGCAAAAATTATGTTTAATTTAATTCCCAGGCCAATGACGCTCCCGCTGTTCCGAGTGTACATAAGCCCGGGGCGAGTGTACTAATTCTGGATGGCCATTTACACCCCGGAAAAGGAAAGCATTAGCAAAGTCTAATGTTCATCAATGATCGTGGGCACATCACTGTGTGTGGGTGGTTACCCTCACTGATCTTAAAATATAGCAAGAGTTAGACTGTCACAAATAGTGAACAATGACTGCTCAAATTTTAAATTTGCATTATAACAAGCTTTTGACAAACAAAGCCGAAAGACTTGCTAAAAGAAGGGAGCAAAGACGCCTTTGTTTGTTTTAAATATGGATGTATTGTTTGCTTAATAATTACTTTAAAAACTGATCGTTGCATTTTATGAAAAAAGCACATAATTTCAGTTTATATTTATTGATTACCCTTTTTTACTACAGGTGTATATTAAATTTTTTAAATAAAGATGAAAGCAAAGTTATTTGAATGTGAGAATTTGAAATAATTTGATTTCAAACTCAAAGTTTATCAATAAAAGGCAGTTTCGTTTTAAAAACATTTTAATTAAAAATGTTTTGCAAAGCATTTGTGGTTGAATTTTACACATTAAATTAAAGCTTATATTACGTATAATAACATACCTACTGTAACATACATATGTTTGGGAAATTGATAATTTTATAATTAATTAAATTAACTCATCAACTAGCAATGCACCCTACTTTAGTATTTACTCTGTCTAATGCCAGACGATTTTACTCGTCAGTGGTAGAGTACTGCCAGTAAATGACTTAAAAGTGATATTTTAGGGGACCTTTCAATTTTAAAAATATGCAACTACTTCTCATACTTCAAGTTTGGAAAATACAATGATTTTGTCAGCAAGGCAAGGGTTTCTGTATGCATGTATTTTCTAGTATAACTTTAATCTATGCAGTTGCATTTGTGTTCAAGTGTTAGGTTGCATCGCAAAAACATCCATTTACATAGGAAACTTTTATCATTCATGCTCAATATCAAAATGCTCAATGCTCAATACCATTATTACCAGTAGGGATGGAAAGTAGTAGCTGTTGAGATGCATCGGCATGAATAATCAGCACCAGCAATAAGGATTACTGTAATCCTTACCTAACCATGGGTAACTCCTCTATCCTCAATGACAACTACAGTGTAACATGATGTAATGAATAGAACTAAGCAAATTACCAAAAATAATTCGTCATGGTAACCTTAAATTGTCTACCTGGTTGCCTTGGATACTGACGCCCACAACACCAAGTAATGGAGCTATGCATGCAATGCAATAAGAGCTACAAAAAAAGTTGACTACAAGGCGTGGGTGATAAAAACTGTCTGCACCACTCATTGGTGACTATAAACCCATTGAGCAATGAGTACCAACACTTTCCCCTTGACAAGTAAAACTGTCTGGCATTAATTAAAGAGATTAAAATAACAAAGTAGGGCACATTAGGGGGTGTTTATATGAGCCCTACATAAAGGGCTAACCCTCAAGAGGGCTGATTTTGCTGATGTAAACACGAGGTGAAAAACAGCCCTACAGTACATGGAGGGCTTGCTCTTGATGTAGGCTCATGTAAACATCACATTAGGGCACAATTTATTATTTATTTATTTATTAGTTTCGCCATATTACAATACACAAAACTATAACAAGAACAAGAATAATATACATGACTATAGGCAGGGTGACCGCAACAGTGCGAGCCAATTACTGTGAGCCGGAATTAGGACATACGAACATAAAAAACTATCTAAATAAAACTATAACTAATAGCAGCACTTAAGAGGTTGAACCAGGGTCTTAGCTAGGATTTTAGATCTTGGGCGTGTTCCTAAATGACCAGGGTGTGCACATGTCAATTACCTTGAATAGCCAAATTCATGGTTCTACAACAACGGACAATGCCTGTGGTTGTTCTATGCTTTGCAACCAAATACAAGGCGAGCATATACTCATATTGCACACTGACATTAAAATATTAAGTTATTTCAGCAACTCTTGGGGGTATTTAAAACCACATACGGTTCCCATTATCCGTCAAAACATTAAAACATCACGAATCACTTTTGCCAATTTCAACAACAATATATTTTACAAACTTTCTTATGACGTAAATAGAAAGAAATTCTGTCTGTTGTAAGTAGCACCATCTTATTTTATGAACTTACACAACCTTATATAAGGGCCTGTTCATATGATCCCGCTTACCGGGACGTCTCGCTTACCGATGATCTCGCCGCCTATCTATTTTCCTATAAAATTTTGCATTGTGTTCATATGAGAAAGCGAGCTGGCCCGCTTGCCGAGATCTCGTTTGAATTTGCCGAGATCATAGGTAGGCGGGATGAAAATTTTCCATATGAACACGCCAGCCCGCTTACCGGGATGAAGTGAAACAAGTCTTGCCGGTTTAATTTAACACTTTTTACTTGGTTTTATGTTTGTTTTGTAAACAAGTATTAAATAACCACCTGAAGCAATACTTTTTCTTGTAAATAAACGAAGAAAAACACTAAAATCGCCAAGTATTTGTGTTGCTTGACTGAAATGTAGAAGTTTTGCATACGCTAATTATAGAACTACAATGTAATTTCATCTCGGCAAGCGGGACGAAATACTCCATATGAACGCACGGAAATATTTGTCTCGGTAAGCGAGACGTCCCGGTAAGCGGGATCATATGAACAGGCCCTAAGTAACGAAGCCGCATTCATTTTATCTACCTGTGTTTTTCAATTCTTGGCCGTGATAACACGGCCCTCTAGCTAAGACAGGGTCCGATATCCACGGAATACTGAAATTTGGTTTTGGATACTAAGTTTATTTTACTTGTATCCCGATGGGATACCACATTTTTTTAAAAAACGGGATAGCAGTTAATGTTTTAGTAGTCTCCCCACATTTTTGTTCATTAAATAGTGCTGTAACACAAGTCTAGCATTCGTCTTAACGTTGTATTTATGCATGTAGTCCACTCATGGTTGAATTCGCGAGTCGCCATTTTGAATAGTGTTTCCACATTGAAACAACTGTCCAGATTTCATTGAAAAGAATCTTTTTGAAGTCAAGAAAAGTCTAGCCTGCGTAGCAGGCGGTATTCGCGGGCACGAGAAGAAAAGTCAAGAAGATTGTAAGGAAATTTGAAGGTCGATAGTTAGCAAAGTAGAAATACATTTTTTTTGCTGCCGTCATGAACTAAAATACTCATAAATAATCCATGCTTTCTTGTGATATTATGTAAAAAATATTTAATTAAAACCACCAAAACTCCTGATGCAGGCAATGGTCTTCATGATAATACAGCCAATGATGATGATAATGACACTGTAGTTCCCGTAGTTCGCATTTGAGTGCATACTGATAGCATTAAAAATCAGAGAAGTTGACACTTAGACTTTAATTTATAATTAAATAACCCTGTTAACTGTTAAGAAATTGAACATTTGAACTGTATAAGTTCCTTTTAGGATTCTAGTATATTAAACATAAAATGCGATGGATGAAAATGCTTGACTAAGAGTAAGCCTTAGAGTGATGTTGGGTCTGGCCCTGTGGGATACGAAAAGCCAACTAGTTAAGTATCCAGATTTGGGATAACGGATTATCGGGAGGGATACCAAATTTTAAAACTTTGGTATTCATGTGGATACTTAAGACCCTGTCTTGTTCACAAGCTGTTGGTTTGACGAGCTTGTAGCAAGCTTGTACATGTGAACGAGTTGTTGACACGGCTTTGCTATACAAGTCTGCTGCTGCAGGTTTGTTGCAAGAAGTTTTTACGTGTGTAACTGGTATAGTTACAGAATGAATACATTTCATCAAACCATGCCTTGTCTTGATGGTTTGAGCCTTGACGTTTGTACTAGCTCAAGTACACGTGCTAATAATTATCGGAGTTCCATGAAATGTAGCCGAAAATGTTGAATTATCGCATCCTGTAGTTCCATATTATTTCCTCTTTTACTACAGAAAACAAAACTTGTCTAAACCATCACACAAAATATTTGTTTCCTTTCTATCACAGAACTATGTAATAATTACTATAATCTTATTATCACTAACTGAATCTAATTTCCCCAATTGTTACAGTAATTTACTCCGGTTAACTCGAATTCGCTTGACTCGAACTCCTCGCTAACTCGACTACAAATTTCATTTTCCCATGGTCGAATTTCACCCGGTTAACTGTATTTTTGAAACGTGGATCGGCAAGCCTCAAAATGCCAGAACACAGCATATTGACAAGTCGGAAGCTTGGGTTTCTATTCAGCCACCATTGATTTAACATTATCATGAATAGCAGGGAAACTACAGCAGTAAAGGTTTTCCTGTAAATGTAATTTTAATCTTTATCAAACGAAATCTCCTCGCTATTTAGGAGTGGTCGGTCGTCATTCAACACTAGAACGTAAGGAAAGCGATCAATATCTGATACCTGACAATACGAAACTACTGGAGGTAAAAATGTTCATTCTTGATTAGAATCATAAATCAGTCATAAACCTCTTATTGACCGTAGCGAAGTTTGCCTGTATAAGTGAATGTAACTATAGGTTTATTATTCCCGCTAGCTACTAAGCCAAGGTGGCTGTTTATATGAGGCAGGCTATAGCACGCTGATTCGTGTCACGCAAATCTTTCCTTTGCGACAAGAGAAAATTTGGATTAACTTAAAGACAAGTTTACTTCTAATCTAAATGGAATATTTCTGTCAACATTTTCTTGGGAAAGACATGGAAGAAGCTTGGCTCATACCAGCAGCCCTAATTAGCTGTTCGTTGCAAGCGGTGCATCAATCTTGAGGCATGCATGAGTCCATTTTAACTTTTAAGATCAACTGAAACGGGTCTACTTATTTTAATAGCAAGATATCCTGCAAGATGGTTTTCCATGATTATGATTTCCATATACAGTACCTACCGGCCGGAGGTGGAAAATGTTTATTTTCTTTCTGAGAACTTGGGTTTAGGGCTCAAACGTTTCTGCAAAAGATTACAACAAATAAGGAAAACAAAATGGTCGTTTGTGACTGTTTTAAAGTGCTGTTTTGTGAAGCAATATATGTCTTCACGATGAATTCTAAAGTTGTCCTAGTAGTCTTACAGGATTTGAAACATTTGGGTTCTCATGCATGTTCCGATACTTCTCCACGTCTGATCGCTACACCAACTTCTGACGTTTCGCTCGAAATTTAGTTATATTGTTCCATGTCATTTGGTCCTGTAATCCCTCAAGTATATTTCCATAATTAGTTGGGTTTTTTTTAATCAGCTTTCACTGACGCCTGATGAAGAGGATTACGAGGATCTAAGTGGCGCTCCTCCTCCGGGTAAGACATTCCAGGATGTTAGCTACAGACAATAATTCGGCGTTGTACGCTGTTTTTCAGTTACGTTTGGCTAGCAATTTCTCAATTTAGGTCTGCCGAAAACGTAACTATTATGAAAAAAAAAATTAAAATATAAGATTGTTCAACTACAAAACTGTGCTCAAGAAGAATTGGGAACCAGATCATGGGCGCTATCCCTATTTTATTTGGGGGGGGGGGGAGTGTAAATGAAATTTTGCCTTGTCATTTCTTCGAACGAGTCATTTCGAGTCAGTTTTAGGAGGAGAACACTACCCCGCTTCCATCAAAACCCCCAGCCTCCCGTAAAATTCTTGATTTGTCTCCATGAAATAACATTTCCGCATTCAGACAGCACTTTTGAGCAAAAATATTAAATACTTTCTTCCTTTTACAGACAGTTAATTATTCCCATTTGCCAATATTTCTTGAAAGCATATTGTGAAAAATATAATTGCGGAGAGTTTCAAAATAATTCAATTGAAGATTGAGTTTTTACTACCGTATACGGGTATACCGGTAGTGGAAAAACACTTCTTATTAATTCCTGTTTATAAAGTTCATTATATTACTATATTAGGAAACAAAATGATTGTATTAAAGCAATGCTGATTTGTGCGAAAGGAAATCTCATATTTCTCATATTTCTAGTAAAATTTGTAAATCCATTGGACTTATTTTTAGAAGTAGTTTCTGTCTCCTTGTATGCATTGGTGTATCCTTATCTTCAATATTGTAACATTTGTTGGGCTTCTATACCTATATATACCTATCAAATTTAAATCGACTAGTCATTTCACAGAAACGTGTTGTTAGGATACTAAGCAAGGCTAAACTAAGTCTGATTCTCATACCGATCCTTTGTTTAAGGAACTCCAACTAATAAAATTCCATGACATTCGTAAACTACAAATGGGTCAATTTATTTTTTCTTGGAAAAATAATACCCTACCATATTACAACTTTAAATTAAAGATATGTTTACATCTAATGATCAATTGCTTGGCCTTAAGAGAAGGAGAGTTCCATTTTGCAGGACAAGATTAAGGCAATTTTCCGAGTACGATTTCAAGGTCCAAAATTCTTTAATTCCCCGCCAGATGAAATCACGTCTGTGTCTTCTGATTCTGTGGGCATTTTGATTGAGATTGAGAGTGAATGCTTTATGCAAGACAATTTAATGCTGTTGGTTGCCAATAATTTATTAATTTAGCCGATTAAATACAAATGTCTAGTCATATTATGAAGGAGTTTAAATTCAAAATAAGCTTTCTAGTTTCTATATATTTTAGACTCCCTCGCCACCAATCAGTTGAAATGTTTGTGTAATTATATTTGTTGTATGATTTGTGTAAATATCGGTGGTAGATTTAATAAATTCAAATTCAAAGGGCTGTGCCTCATCGTCAAATATTTGGTACTTGAGTTAGATATTTTCAAGTGCTTAAACGTTCTTGTTTTGTCTCCAGGTCATCCTGACTCTGACGGGCAAGAAGATTATGTCGTGCCTGACACAAAACCTGGCGCAATCGGTTGGTAAACTTCTAATTTATAAATAAAATATAGCCTATAGTAAAAATAGGTACGCTGAGTGTACATGTGCCCGCTGTGACTATGGTCAGTCATTTCCAGCTCTTGATAACCAGTCTCTTAGTTCCACGGTTTGTGGCTATAAGGTATGCCTGTTTTCGGCACACCTTATAGCCACGGTTTATAGCTAGTGTGTGTGACCGGTGTGAGCATGCCTATACATGCCTGTTTTCAGCATACCTTATATGGTAAGCGACTGTTTGTGACCGAAAACAGGCATACCTTGTATCCACAAACCGTGGCTCACAGTCAGTGGCGGAAATCTTGGTGGGGGGGAGGGGGGCGGCCGCCCCCTCACCTTCCGGAAAATTGACGAATTTTCGGAAATTTTGATCTAAAAGAGGGCTAAAAACAGTCTTTTCGAGTACATATGGGGGGGGGTATGTCGGAAATTTGAAAGTTTTGTCGGAAATTTAGGAGGCTTTGCCCCCCCCCGGAAAAAGTGAATTTCCGCCACTGCTTACAGTATAAGGTATATGCTTAAAACAGGCATGTATGAGTATGCTCATGACTATACCGGATTTTGGTACGGGGGGGCATGCTCAAGAGTATACTGGATTTTGGTGTGTATATGAGCATGCTTATGAGTATACTGGATTTTGGTGTATTTGCATGCTTGCGATCGGGTTAGCCTGGATGAGGGGATTGCCTGTTTCGCTGAACCTGTAGCCTGCACCACGTCTGCACCCGCCATGCCTTAAAACTCGCCTGACAGCAGAAAAACTCTGCACCCAGGGTTTTTACAGGCTAATCTAAATGAGCAGATTTAGAGTGTATAATGTTTTATATTTCAGTACCACCGCGGCCGCCGAAACCTTCGCATGATACGAATCCTTTGCCTCCCTCGAAGAAGAATGGACACAAAGGACCCAAAGCCCCTAAGAAGAATAAAATTCAAAACTTACAAGCAATGCTTCAAGAGCAGGTATGATAACCAATCTCGTGCCCAGGGGATTTCTGCACTGAGGAAATAACTCGGGTCAGTGTGGTAATGTATATTGTAGTAAAAATATGTCATAAAATATATATTTTAAAATGAAATTTACTTGCCTATTTAATAGTGTGTGTTCTCCTTTTATTCCTCTTTTGTTGGACTAATATTTTCCGAGACTTTACACACTTTACATAATACATGTATACCAGTAGCGGCCGCAACCATCGAGTGCAAAGTCTTGGAAAATATTAGTCCAACAAAAGAGGAATGAAAGCATAACACACACTGTCAAATAGGCAAGTAAAATAGATTTGAAAATATATATTTTATGACATATTTTTGCTGTAATATACATTACTATACTGACCCTTGCAAGATTGGACCGCCTGTGGTTAGCCAGATAAGTCTGAACTACAACCTTTGAACTTAAGAATCTACTGCCCAGATCTGAGTAGCGCAGCTGGGGGTCGAGAAGCAAAGCCATGAATTTTCACAGACTGTATTACAGCATATTATACTGTACACAGGCTAGGATGCGAGCTCAAATTCAAATTCAGTAACAAATACATCAAATTATATTCACATCATCAATATACCTGACCAATTTGCGCATGTTCATACCCTTTACCACCCCGTTCAATTACCCAGTTCACACTTTGGATAACTCGTATGCCTCGTTACCACTGTTCTGATAATGTAAACAAATATCTCAACTCTTTAATACTTTATGTCAGTGACCTGAGTGGCAACGGGGATCAACATGCGTTAGCTGATTACGTCTGTAGATTCAATAAATTACGTAGATTCGTAAGATTACGTCTGTGTATTCTAGTCTACAAACTATTGATATTTTGAAATTGTTTGTTTCTTTAGGAAAATTACGAACCTCCTCAGCCTCAAAGAGGTGGGATTTATGAATATACAATTTAGTATTTCATCTCACCATAACTTAATACAGTTGGGTTTAGTTGGAGTTTTCTCCTGTAGTATACTACACTCGCCAATATGGGATGACCCTTACTGGACTTTTCGAGAAAAGAGTTTTGAGGTTTCATCCTGTAGTAACACTGGACCAATAATGCAGGATGAACATCACTGTACCTCTAGGGAGAACAGTTTGGAAATATTGGAGCTATAAAGAGATATAGTTAGTGTACACGCGTAAAAACGCTCAGGTTGATGCAATACTGATGAAAACAGGATTGAACAATGTTTTGTTGCCCACATTGTTCATAGCTGTCAACAATATTGAACAATGTTGTTACACCCGATTCAGACTCAACAATACTGTTCAATATTGTTGACAAGTGTGAACAACGTGGGCAGCAAAACATTGTTCAATCATGTTGAGCAGCGGGCTCGGCGTTTTTTTCCGTGTAGTTTAGGTTTCTTTCTGTCAAGGCCAGATTTTGGTTGAAATATTGGTGAGGTAGACCTAAGCAACCGGAAAATGTCAAATTTTCACTTTGATCTATCATTGAAGCTTTCCCAAGAGGAAGTGCATGACATTTCAGGGGAAGTAGAAAAATTCTCAGGGGAGGTGCGCACCTCTACACCTCCCCTCAAAATCCGGCCATGCTTTCTGTAGTAACACTGGTCCAATAATGTTTGATCCTTACTGGAGAACAGCTAAGAACTGATGGATCTATCCGGCATAAGTTGTCTAATGATTTTTCTCAAAGATTTAAAGAAACACAAACCACTTCCAAGTGTACATCCTCATGCTTCTGGATCTCCAAAGCCTCCTGCCAAGGTATTGTAGTAACAGTTCAATATAGGAATGGTTGCTTGCGACGAGGAGAATAGTCGGATTAAACAATGGAACATTTTCATGACTACACACGCAAAAATTTCACATCTTGTACACACGTAAAAACGCACAAGTTGTTACAGGTCTGCAAACAAGTTGTTACAAATTTGTTCACAAGCTGTCGACAAGTTAGGTTGTCTTCACACTTCTTGTTCCCAGCTGTTGTAACAAGTTTGGAACAAGCTGTCAACAACTTGTAACAAGCTTGCTGGGATTAACAGACTTGTTACAAGGTTGTTCTAACAAGTCTGATACAGTCATGATATAACAAGAATGTTACAAGGTTGACCACACAAGATTGTAACAATACTGATATATCATGACTGTATCTGACTTTGTTGGAACAAACTTGTAACAAGTCTGATAATATCAACAACGTTGTTACAAATTGTTAACAGATTGTTCCAGACTTGTTGACAACTTGGGACAAGCAGCGCGAACACAACTTGTTGACGGCTTGGTGGCAGACTTGCTACAAGATGTGAGACCTTTGCGTGTGTAGCAAGTCTTCCAACAAGTCAACGAGTTGTGTTCGCACTGCTTGTCCCAAGTTGTCAACAAGTTTGAAACAACTTGTTAACATGCAGTTGTAACAACCTTGATGATGATATCAGACTTGTTGCAAGGTTGTTCCATCAAGTAATGACATAACAATATTGTTACAACCTTGTATCGTCAACCTTGTAACATTCTTGTTATATTATGACTGTATCGGACTTGTTAGAACAACCTTGTAACAAGTCTGATAATGCCATCAAGCTTGTTACAGGTTGTTAACAGCTTGTTCCAAACTTGATACAACAACTATAGGAACAAGTAATGCAAACGCAACTTGTGGACAGCTTGTGAACAGATTTGTAACAACTTGTGCGTTTTTACCTGTGTTTATTGTGACTGGATAGCACTATTGATAAGGTTACAGAGAACACCTTTGAGTGTTAATTTTGCCTAAAAATTTTTTATTGGTTTCCATGAAAGCATTAGACTAGTTCTACTATCCGACAAAGTTTGGACGAAAAATGTTGAAAACTCGCAGAGTTATTTAATAAAATACATTTCGCGTGCAATAAGAAAACATTGAAAATGTAATATTCAAATTCAATTTTCTCGCGAAGAATTTTACGGCAATTACTGATTTTTAAACGAGTTGTGCTCCTGCGGGTTTTAACGAATTTTTCTCAAATTTTCACAGGACATAGCTAAAGACGTCAGTTTCAAAATTGTGTTCGGCTTTGTTCTAATTTTGGATATTTTAATAATAAGGAGCAATTCACACAAACGATTCAGAAATATATTGCAGTCGTCAAAGAAATCGCCATATCAGTGGAATGACGAAATAAACAAAAATTTCCGAACACAATTTTTTAGAACAACTATTTTACTGTATAAAAATGATATTTTCATAAATATATCTTAAAACCAGCAGGAACATAACTCAAAAGCGTAAAGGTACCGCGACTTAATATTTTCCTAAATAATTCTTACATTATTTTATTGTTTGTCAATTTTACAACTTTATCATATTTTGCATGCACTGGCTCTAACATTTGGTGAAAATTTGACGAAAATCGGACTGATTTTGAGCGCGTAGTAGCGATTTTCCACAAAACGCCAAAAAGGGTGTCCTGTAACCTTAACTTATGCTAAGTATTTTGAAACAGGTCCATTGTAAGCGGTATATACTATGTAATGATAAAATGCTTGTGTTTTTAAAGCACTTGTATCCCCTTCAATCTACAGCTTTCTTATTATCGACACTAGCACAGACCACTGTGAGCGGTATATACTATGTACAGGACCGCCGAGAGGGAGTGGGCAAGAGGGGCTCTTTATCCCGCGCCCCCAGCTCAAAGGAGCCCCCAAAGCAACGAAGGCCCGTAAGATTTCTTGATACAAGATTGATTATTGTAAAACACCGCTTCTCCCGTTTTTCCCCTGGCCCCGCGGAACCTCTCGGCGGCCCTGACTATGTAACTTTGGGAGTTCGTTTTGACAATTTGACATTTTGTTTCCGCAGCCGGTCCCGTCAAAAGCTCCCGCACAGCCACCACGAGGTAAGTAAATTTTAAATAAATATTACGATAAGAGCTAAACAAACGTATACCCCAAGAAACAATCAAATCATGCCTTACGTACCATCATAATAGCGCACCAATGAATACCACAACAGTGAATACCACAACAATGAATACCACAACAATGAATACCATCTGAATACCAATGAATATCATCTACGATACTGAGCACACGATAATCATGCCTTCCCCTAGTTGACAAGAAATGTTCTCTTGATTGTTTGTAGTTTCCAAGAAAATAGAGACGAAACCGCCTATCCCGGATGAACCAGAACAAGAAGTAAGAAAGTTTTGGTTTAATGAAATTTTATATTAGCGAGTTTAAGCAAGCAACGTTCCTGAGGCAAGAGAGGACTGGATTAAAAACTGTGTTACCCTAACCCTAACCCTATGTATCAGTTTGTGACAAATAGTAAGATTTTTGATGTGTCGACTGTTTCCTTGCACGAGAGCTATGATGCCCTCGCTTAAGCTCCCTATTCCTATCAGCCTAGACCATTTGCCTGGCTGCCTTTGGCAGGTTTGGTCAATTTTGACTAGCATTTGGTAAGTATGACGTTACATGCGAAATGCGTGTCTGTACCTCTACATACTTAATAAATCTTGATTAATAAATCTATCTATTGTATAGGACCAGTATGAACCCCCCGATTTACCACCATGTAAGTTACTTGATTTGCACAATTTTCATATTCATTTTCAAAAACTGCCTTGCCTGATATATTTGGACGACTCGAATTTTGAGTTGGAAAGTTCGCTTTAATTCTTTGGTTTCATTTCACCTCCAAGTTTCATGTAAAGCGACTCGATTTGTTTTTGTAGCAACCGGCAAGAAACCAGCAGTGTTCAAACCACCTGCGTTCAAACCACCTGCGTTCAAACCAGCTCAAGTTCAGGTAAAAACAATATTTTTTGAGTTGATGATAGATGTGTACATCTAAATCATTTTCAATGTTTGATGATTGTTTTATACCCTGTAGGAACCTCCCGCTCGTCCATGTAAGTACATATAGTTTAATTTTGCTTCTATCATATCATACCATAACATACCTTACCATACCATGCCATACCATGCCATGCCATGCCATACTGTACCATGCCATGCCATACTGTACCATGCCATGCCATACCATACCATACTGTACTATGTCAGAGTACTGTGGCATATTGTACCAGAGTACTGTACTGTACTGTACCGTACCATATTACTGTACCATACAATACCATCATGCCATATCGTACTTTGCCATACCGCATTATAGTCATACCATCATGCTATACCATACCATGTCACACTACTGTACCACACACACCATACCAAATTATACCATGCCAGACTACTGTATCTTGCCAGATTACCATACCATACCATACCATACCATACCATACCAGACTACTGTACTGTCCAGATACTGTAGTATAATATGCCATACAATACCACACCATATCATACCATACCATACTATTCCATGTCGTACCAAACTGTACCATGCCACACTACTGTACCACACTATACCAGAGTATACCATGCCGGACTACTGTACCATGTTGTACCATGTCAACTTGCTGTAGCACTCCATACCATACCAGAATACTGTGCTGTTGCAAATTACTGTAATATATCATACACTACAATACATTGCCATACCACCGTACTTTACCATACTAAATACCATACCCACATCATACTACAATACCATATTATACCATACCATACCATACCATACCATACTATACTATGCCATTACCCATACTATAGCTATACCTTACCATACCATACCATACCATACCATACCATACCATACCATACCTACCATACCATACCATACCAAACTATAACATGATAACAACTCATGAGCAGACAAGCCCCACTAACATATGTAATACACCATATAGCATCACAACATACTACACCATATCACACCAATTGGCAGCATGCCATTTGATACTCACGATTTCTCTCGCAAAAATCTCACATCTTGTAGCAAGTCTGCCATGCAACAGGCCGTCAATAAGTTGTGTTCCCACTGCTTGTCCCAAGTTGTCAACACGTTTGGAACAAACTGTTAAAAACTTATAACAACCTTGTAATAATGTCATCAAGCTTGTTACAAGTTGTTGACAGCCTGTTCCAAACTTGTTACAACAACTAGGAACAAGCAGTGCGAGGGCAACTTGTCGACAGCTTATGAACAGATTTGTTGGCAGACTATAACAAATTGTGCGTTTTTTACATGTCATGCATATCAAAACACACGATGGTAAAATCTCCTTGTCAATGCATATTTGTTCAGTCATCAATAAGAAGAAACCGCCTAATAAGAAGAAACCTCCAGAACCAGAACCAGAACAGGTACTCTCATCTCATTTCATTTCTTTACACATTATTTACGTTTAAAGTGCACCTAACCTTAATTATTTTAACATCTCATTCCTAAGAACCTTTGAAATGATGTTGTAACTTATTTTGAAGATTTTCGTTTGCACTCTTTGTCTCTGAGATATTTCAGTTTTGTTGATATGCAAATGTCCGGAATTTACGTCACATATGAATAATGACTGATCAAAGAATGTAAGGTACAGTTAAATATCATGAAATAAAAAGGCTAAATGATGTTTTACATAGGTATGTAATCCTCCCACAACTCCAAACTTCATTTTAATGAATTAAACTCGATAGTGAATGCGATATGTAAGCTTTTACTTTAAATCATTATGCATTTGTGACGGAAATTCCGGATATTTGCATACCAAACAAACTGAAATATCTCAGAAACAAAGTGAGCAAACGAAAGTCTAGCAACTTAAGAAATTCAAGATATGCTGGGGTAAGAAAACCGATCGGAGAATAGTAACTTTTGTTGTTGAGATTCACCATAGTTTTGGGAAATATGTAAAGAGCAAATATGCATTGATTTATTTGTGTAAGATGTTGAAGTATTTTAGTACATAAAAGCCCTACAAATAGTAAAGTGAAAGCATGTGTAGACCGTGGTTTACCGCTGGGAAACGACAAAATGGCGGTCAGGCTGGGGGGGGGGCGACTTTCTTGTACTCTTGTGGAACAGGTTTTATTTTGGGGAGGCTAATAAGTTCCAGCATGGATAATAAAATAAACATACCACACATTGGTGGTTTATTTTATTATCCATGGTTCCAGCTAAGTTGGGAGCCATAGTTAAGATTTTCAGCCAAGTGCAAACACGATACGCAAGACATTATCGAACTGCAACAGGGTAGCATAATAGCAGCGATGAAAACTAGGGGGTCCAGGGGCATGCTCTCCCGGGGAAAATGTGAAAAATTTAGGCTTGGAAATTCCATTTCCTGCACTTTCCGGCACAGAACTAGTTGTTCAGTTGAAGAATTTGGATGAGAAAATGCTCCTGTCTACACCAGACATTTGTGGCATGTGGATTAAACAATTCTCATAGCAGAAATTTGGGACCGACTTTTGATACAGTCGCAAACAAAACTGAGACCGACTTTTCTGATTTTCGAGTGCTGGGGTGGTTTTCTGATTTTCGAGTGCTGGGGTGATGACGTCAGGCGCCCCTGATGGCGGTATACCCGTACCCGTAACCTGGGTATCTTAACGTCTTCATTGATATTTCGATATACGATATATTTTAGGAAACGTACGAGCCTCCAGACCAGCCAGCAAGACGTAAGTTTATCTTTGGACATTTTTCTACCTTCTGGTAATTCTAACTGTACCATGACAACATGTCACGTGATGATCACGTGATATGGAATATGGAATGAAAACATTCATTATTTGTATACTATAGTACTATACCACATCATGCCATATTGGGCCAGACCCAACCGGGTCAAAATATTAATTTCATACTTCACCGCTCCTTACCAAATTGATGCAAACCAAAGCTGATGATACCATTCTTATATTCCAGATCCAAAGAAACCAGCAGTAAAACCTCCTGTTGAAATCGAACAGGTTAGCCTTCCGGACTCTAACTGCAACAGAGTAAAATACTGAATCAATTTATTTTAATACCCTCTTATTTTCTCTTTTATTCATTTTTCCTAGGAAAACTATGAGCCTCCAGAACCGCAGAGAAGTAAGATTATATAAACGATATTTTGTTTGAAAAAATAGAGGCAGATGCGCGGCCAGGATGAAACATATATATTTATTACAAGCTTTCGGCTACAGATTGGTAGCCGAAAGCTTGTAATAAATATATATTTTTGGTCAGAGAGCGTCGATTTTATTGTTATGATATTTTGTTTATTTATTTTTCAAGCTCGATATAAATGTTTTTCTTCTATTTTCCCAGGAAGCAAACCAGTTGTCGCTATGGATCCTGTAAGTACATTGCATGTCAAATTTGGTATTACTTCATATTCATTTAAAATGTATGTTCGTTTAGAAAATTTCTTGATTGGTTTAATATTACTAAGTGTAATACCATAGTTGCCACGAAATCCTTTGTCTCGCGAGGTACGATTAATCACTAATTTACCTCATTACCCATGCATACGCTTTTATCTTCTAAATTTCCCTCATCAAGCATGCAAGGAAAATTAGAAGACAAAGAAATCCTTTGTTTTCAACTTTGAAAACAAAGGATTTCTTTGTCTTCTAATTTTCCCCCGCATGCTTGATGCCTTGATGAGGGAAATTTAGAAGACAAAAGCGTACCTCATTACCTCTGATTGGAGAGCTGTACCTCATCGAAAATCATCGGCACAACTATGGACAGTGTCTGACGACACCGTCCCGTACACATTCGAACAATCACTTTGCCAGCTTTTATTCCCTAATCTTGAACATTTCAATTGCGGGAGAATATTCCGTTTATGCGCATGCCTAAAACGAATGAACACGGAGATGTGTTTCTGCGCGTGCGTATATATGAAAAGTGTTCGTACCACAATCATAAGACAATCAAACGGCATTCAAAACAGGCAACACACCACGCGCGATTCCCTCGGCAACTATGATATTACAAAGTAATAGCATGGC